TATGTTATTGAAAACATGAATAGAAATGACATATTGGGACGTGATTGCTTGATCAAAAATGGTGTACGACTATATTACGATTTAGGGTCATTCAGAATTGGTAAAATATACATTCCATTTGAAGAAGATATTCATAAATCACAGTGGTAAGAGCAGTGAAAAAGTCATTAATCAAGTCACAAACGGCGCATGTTTGTTTGGGAAAACTAAAATCCAATTTTGTTGTTGAAGATGGTTTAGTTGAAATTTTATCATTTGAAAATGGCTTTGTAGGAAGCGAACAAAGACTCATGATAGAAAACTCTATAACAAAAGTTATGAATAACAATAGATTGCCAATTCTAAACAACACCAATAAAACAATAAAAATTAAATGAGGATGTACACTTCGTCAAGCAGATAATGTAAACAAAACATCGGTGGCCTCGGTAAATGAAATTCAAACAACAAATGAAACGGGCGGTAAAATAAATATGATAAAATTGACGTTCCGAATGCTCACAAAGAAAAAAATTCAAAATTAATTTTTGCTAATGAAGATCTTTTTGCTGAACACGAATCGGATTTAGGTCAGACAGACACGGTGAAAATGAAAATTGGCATGGGAAATCATCAACCAATAAAATTGCGACCATATAGAGTTCCTCTAAACAAGCGCAAAATTGTTGATAAAGCGGTAGATGAAATGTTAGAAGCAAATGTAATTCGAAGATCTAAATCACCATGGAGTTTTCCATTAGTTGTTGATAAAAAAGATGGGTCTAAAAGATTTTGTTTCGACTTCAGACAGTTGAATAAAATAACAAAAATCAATTCATATCCTTGGCCACTAGTTGATGATATTTTGGCTACTTTAGGAAAAGCAAAATGCTTTTCAAGTTAAGATTTGAAATCTGGATATTGGCAAGTTTCAATGGATGAGGCATATATTAGTGCCCTCCAGTATAAAACCCGGTGCCTTTTACCATCCTTGGCTCTGAGACCTATGGAAAACACTTGTTGTTTAGAGAGACTTTAAGTACCTTTTGCCTTTGATTTAAACCTTTGTTTGTTTGTTTACCATTTTGGATTGTAAATAATAAAACAGTTATTTAAACTTTACCAGTCTTCTTAATCACGAGTAGTGTCACATAATGAAGGAGAAACTTAAGGAGTACTGTTCAACAGTATATTCGAGAAGTGGTGTAAATCAGATGTGGATACTTAAAAATTCCAAACAAATTCTTAACACTTTATACAACCATTCCCCACGATAAATTGAAGTCCAGACTTTTTGACATCATAGACAGCCGGGTTTTTTTCTATAAAAATGGAACTTGTAAAGATACTTACCTTGTCATTGCAATTGGTCATTTACAAAATTATTTTGTTAAAAAGCACTCTGGTTGTACACACAGGTACACTGAAGTTGATATTAAAAAGATGCTTTAGTTTCTGATTGACAATATCTTTGTATTTTTTGGAGATCAGGTCTTCCAACAATCTGTTGGAATTCCCATGGGAACTAATTGCACCCCCTTTTTTGCAGACCTATTTTGTATTCATATGAAGCAGAATTTATTCAAAAACTTCTACATGATACAATACAACCATTTGACGATATCAACAAGTATGTAAGCTGTAGTAGGACACGAAGTAAATCTTATATTTCTATCACATTTGATAGCATTGTAAAAGGAAAAAAAAAACAATATATTTATTAAACAAAAAATTACAGAGTTTTCAAATTTTTATCTTAGTTGTGAAAAAGGCAAAGGGCTTTTTGACATCATAGACAGCTGCTTCTTCAGTACATATTGAACACGTAAATTTGCATACTTTGTGATTTCTCATCTGCAAACTAATTTGAATTATAAAAAACATTCTGATTCTACAAACATGTACTCTGAGAGTAATATTTAAAAATGCTTGAGTTTCTCATTGATGATATTCATGTAATCTTTGTAGATGAAGTATTTAAACAACCTGCTGAAATTTCCATGGGTAATAGTTGTGCCCTTTATTGCCAGACCTGTTTTGCATTCTTTTAAAGCAGAATTTATTCAAAAATATCTACATGAAAAGAAGAAGTCTTTTGTTGTGGCCTTCAATTCGACATTTGGATAATTTAACGACGTTTTATTAACAACTGATATTCCGTTTCATTCATACGTTGATTCCGATATAACCCACTGTATTGAAAATTAAAAAAAAATACCACATCTGTTTTATATTTTATGTTTCATATTTAAACTTTTACTGGAGGACGACATTGATGGCACACATGGTTGGATTTATATATATATATATATATATATATATATATATATATATATATATATATATATATATATATATATATATATATATATATATATATATACAGGATTAAACTCTGTCACTCATTCCAGACCTTTCAGTGACCATTAAGTTGACTGAAAGGTGCAGTTTCATCTTGTGATATAATGTTATAAGAAATAAGAGGTTAAAAATGACTTCCCCTAACAAAAAAATACTATAGTAAACTATAGTTAAATATAGTTTACTATAGTTAACTATAGTACCAAAGTAAAAACTTTGGAACTTTGATTTACTATTGTGAAAACTTTGGAATTTTGATCTACTGTAGTGAAAACTTTGGAACTTTGATTTACTTCAGTGAAAACTTTGGAACTTGATTTACTATAGTAAAAACTTTGGAACTTTGATTTACTATGGTAAAAACTTTGAAACTTTGATTACGTACGATAAATCCTGTGGAATTGTGTTTTTGATTCCCATTCTTTACATTTTATGATATTTCAAGTTTAAGATTCATAAAACCTTTAGAGAACGTTTTTAAAACCAGACCCCTCCCCTAAAAGAATAATGTACAAGATATGAATTTTAATGTAAAGGTTGTCGCTTGCGCCGATAAATAAGCAATATTTATTTTAATGCATTTAATTTTAATGTTATGCTGATGTAACCTAAGTCTTATTTATGGAGAAAAAATAATATATTATTGTGTCATTTAGAATCAAAACATCTGCTTCATCAACTTCAGTCAACATGTATTTTTTTTAAATTTATAAATGTAAATATTGCATTTGAATTAACTACTTTGTATATTTAAATAAAGATGTACAACAAAAACCAGCCCCAACCAACCCCATATCCACCCCTCCCCTAAAACGGCTAAATAATAAAAAAAAATTAATAAAAATACATAAGTTGTTAAACTAATGAAAAAAACTTTGAAACTTTGATTAAGTATAGGGAAAACTGTGAAACTTCAATTAACTATAGTAAAAACTTTGGAACTTTGATTTACTATAGTGAAAACTTTGGAACTTTGATTTACTATAGTGAAAACTTTGGAACTTTGATTTACTATAGAAAAACTTTGGAACTTTGATTTACTATAGTGAAAACTTTGGAACTTTGATTTACTATAGTAAAAACTTTGGAACTTTGATTTACTATAGTGAAAACTTTGAAACTGTGATTTACTATAGTAAAAACTTTGGAACTTTGATTTACTATAGTGAAAACTTTGGAACTTTGATTTACTTCAGTAAAAACTTTGGAACTTTGATTTACTATAGTAAAAACTTTGGAAATTTGATTTACTATAGTTAACTATAGTAAACTATAGTTAACTATAGTTTACTATAGTATTTTTTGTTAGGGTCGGAAGGGGGGAGGGTTGTCTTTTTCATCAATCTTTTAAGATTCACTTTTAAAAACTGTCATGAACCTCGGAAAAGTTTAAACAAGGCTGCAGAGAGACAAAATGTGTCCAGATTACCTGTTTTGAAATGGCTTAAAAGATTCATAGAGAGTACAGATACATTTCAATGCAAAGTCTCGGTCCGGGTGTCCAAAGTCAGTCACGTTGAAATGTAACGTTGTTCTTATGCCGTAGCAATTGAATTCTGACAAGCGGATGAAGCTGAGACAGTCAGGTGGGATTTTTTTCTCTTTTGTACAGATCCGTTTTCAATATTATATTCTGAAGTCTGCTGTTCATGAAATTTCAAAGTTATATAATTAGAAAAGATAGGACTCAGTCAGTTTTAAACATCAGGGTAACTTGTGAAGAAAAGAGTATTGAGGCAGAAGGAGCAGATATTGAGAAGCAATGACGAACATCATAAAGCTCAATGGTATCAACGCCGGGTGATCGCATAATGTCTTCTGCATTTGATGTTAAATTGGCAAATTGTCAACGTATCAAGCTAAAATTTTCATCACTTTTTTAAACTTTGGTTGATTTATGTTCCATACAAATTTTGTAAGCACAAGCTACATAGAATTTATTTTATTGCATCAGTCCACAAACTGTTTGATAACTTTTGGATAACCTGTCGTAGATGTATGTACATATGTACCTTAAAGGAAAACAAGTTGTTAAGTATACAGTTTTTATTATTGAAAAACCGCAACTAGGGTTGTCATGTCCAATTTCTACCCAAAACCTGGTTTCTACGACAATGCCAGTTCGTTAACCTTTGAGTTACCAATGTGACATGATAAATTGTGGTCAGTGTTTCATAATTTTCATTGTTCAAATTGTGTCTGACATTTTAAATTCTACTGTCTTTAGTTACTCTTTGTTTTACATTTGACGTTCATTCAAATTCAAGATAATTTAACAGGTTTAGCATCATTATCTCAATAACACTGACCACCGACTTAATACCGACTAGTCAAAATCACGATTGGTAAATAAGTTATGTAAATTATATTGACAGTAAATACATAAGAGAAATTAACATAGTGCTTCACCTTGTTTGACCTATCACTGACATACCGCCGAAATATAGCTGAAATACCGCCGAATGACGTAACGTAATATCAATCAAATCACTGTTATACATGTACATAAAAAGAGATTTTTTTAAAAATCTACACCATCCCAATAAATAATACAATAAAAAATAATTTTAAAAAAAATCTATATTACACGTAACACAAGTTACTTCTATTTTTTCAAACTCTGTTGGAACAGGTATATGAAACAATTTAATTTTTGAAGTCAAGGATTTATTGAATTGAATAATAAGAACTAAAATGTAAGGGGAAAAAAATCGTTAATGTTTGGCAAACAATTGGATCATTGTATCACAAGTAAGGTCAATAATTTGTGTATGCTTAAAAGAAGGAAAAACAGAAATACTCCTATAGAGGAGGAAGGACCTGGAGCTGTAGAATTTTCCATAGTAGTGGTGGCTTTAGTGGTAGTGGTTGTTTCTGGTGGAGTTGAAGAGTCCATTGCTGTTTCAGTTGATGTCACTGTCGACATTGTAGAATCTAACATAGTAGTGGTGGATAGAGTGGTTGATCCTGGTGAAGTTGTTGAGTCCATTGTTGTTTCAGTTGATGTCATTGTCGACGCTGTAGAATCTACCATAGTAGTGGTGGTTTCAGTGGTAGTGGTTGTTTCTGGTGAAGTTGATGACTCTAATGTTGTTTCAGTTGATGTCATTGTCATAGTAGTGGTGGATAGAGTGGTTGATCCTGGTGAAGTTGTTGAATCCATTGTTGTTTCTGTTGATGTCATTTTCGACGTTGTAGAATCAACCAAAGTAGTGGTGGTTTCAGTGGTAGTGGTTGATTCTGCTGAAGTTGATGTGTCTAATGTTGTTTCAGTTGAAGTCATTGTCGACATTGTCGAATCTACCATAGTAGTGGTAGATGTAGTGGTTGATTCTGGTGAAGTTGTTGAGTCCATTGCTGTTTCAGTTGATGTCATTGTCGACGCTGTAGAATCTACCATAGTAGTGGTGGCTTCAGTGGTAGGGGTTGTTTCTGGTGAAGTTGATGACTCCAATATTGTTTCAGTTGATGTCATTGTCGACGCTGTAGAATCAACCATAGTAGTGGTAGATGTAGTGGTTGATTCTGGTGAAGTTGTTGAGTCCATTGTTGTTTCAGTTGATGTCATTGTCGACGCTGCCGAATCAATCATAGTAGTGGTGGTTTCAGTGGTAGTGGTTGTTTCTGGTGAAGTTGATGACTCCAATGTTGTTTCAGTTGATGTCATTGTCGACGCTGTAGAATCAACCATAGTAGTGGTGGTTTCAGTGGTAGTGGTTGTTTCTGGTGAAGTTGATGATTCCAATGTTGTTTCAGTTGATGTCACTGGTGACGTTGTAGAATCTACCATAGTAGTGGTGGCATCAGCGGTAGTGGTTGCTTCTGCTGAAGTTGATGTGTCTAATGTTGTTTCAGCTGATGTCACTGTCAACTCTGTAGCTAAGGATTAAATTTGAGCATATTTTATCACATTTCAATCTTGTTCAATGTTTTAAAATTTTCTTGATATCACAGACACTCTTTTCAATATTTGGTTAAAAAGTAACAATGACATCAACATTGCCTGAATACCCCCTTCTGAATGACATTTAAGTGCATTTCTGTAATATAGTTGATGTCGTCAGTTATTTATTTATGTTCATATAAATTTATTTATTTTAAATAATATAGTTTCATAGTAATATAAACAGGTACGCAAATGTATTACAGAAACCGACTTCTGTTTCAACCTTTAAACCATCGTAATTCAGGCTACTTTTCCTGTTTAAGCATTGACGTCTTCTTTTACAGATTTAACTGGCTAATTTGGCTGCTTGGTTATAAATTCAAGATATGCTGATCCCAACAACATTGTTCCTTTAGTAATGCACAAATGTGTTTTACAATTATTTTACTTATTTGTTAATAGTTGATTTTACTCTGATATTAAATGATTAAAACTGAAAGAACACAATCTGCTTTTTGCACAAAATACAGCGAGACATACTTACTTGAGGTCACTGCCAGCGCAACAGATACAGAGACTGCTGAAATGAAAGTAGACCTATTGGTAAAACACATATAAAAATAAAACGAAAATGAATTCCTATCTTTCATTTATCATATAATCGTGAGCTGAAAAACATAACCACATTATTTCTTCTTCTGTTCATAAATATGTCAAAGACTTGAGAAAATTAGTTCCCTTGACAATAAGTTGCGTTTGAGTAATACAAAATCATTTCTGTTTATTTTGAATCTAGATAAATCATATAAGGTAAATATATTAACTCAAAATACAATGTCATATATTTTTTCTAATTAAAAATAGATTTTTTTGACGTCACACGGCATTGCAGTCCCTCTGATGAGACTGAAATGAAGAGTGTAGAAATTGTTCTATTATTGGGAACACATTAAGTATCAAAATCGTAATTACCAAACCTCACTGCACACTGTAAAAATTGTTTTATTATTTGCCATACCTTTGGAATCAAAATCGTCATGACCAAACCTTTCTCCACATCTTAATCATCTGTATGATCAATTGTGGCCAAAAGCATTTTAAGCTATTTATGAAGCAAAGAATACGAGAAGTTATGATGACAAACAAGTAAGGTTGAACAGACAGAATTACATACATGTATATTAAAAACATCAAAATACACAGATACTACAGAAGCCCAAAAGTGTAACCTAAAAAAAAAATTAAAAAAAATTAAAAAACGAAATTATTAAATAAAGAAAACGAAATTATTAAATAAAGAAAACGAAATTATCAAATAAAAAACAAATGAAATTATTAAATAAAGAAAACGAAATTACTAAATAAAAAACGAAATTATTAAATAAAAAACGAAATTATTAAATAAAAAACGAAATTATTAAGTAAAAAACTGAAACTAAAATACGGAATTTATAGATGTGCATGGTAAGGACCTGAACCCATGAATCATTCCATAAAGGGCATGTGTTATAAAGCAACACTTAGTTATTATATAGACCTGATTTTGTTTCGACATTAAAACAAGTGTGGGGGAAATAAAAAAATTAAAAAAAAATTAGATAAATGTCAAATTGACAAACGTAGAAAAATAGTATGTGCTCACAGCCTATAATTCCCATTTTTGAAGTAAATGATTCATAACTGTTCAATTTTGTTTACGGGAATTTGATGCTGTGTCGCATCCCCACAACGTCAAAGTTTGAGCATGTAAGCCTAGAAGTAGCGAGGATGGCTATTTCTGCTTATTAATGACATTCCAAAAGAGCTCATGAATCGCTAAAGGTCAAGACCTTGCGTATCGTATTGATGAATTCCCCCGAACTAAACCTAGCGCCCTATCTGTGTACCCATAAATCTTAGGTTGTTGAAACAATAAAGGGAATGATTTGAATACTTTGTGGGGTTTGTTATGCAAGTGTGTACATTGTTTGTTCCCAACTATCACTGACTTATAAATACAGAATGAGAATTTGTCATTTAAAATACGTGAGAACAAATAGTTAGTGCATCACTTCTAATTATGCTTTGATAAAATGACCAAGAAATTAGAAGTGTTTTGCTTAATTTTAATAAAGAACGCAATCATTAAAATCTATTCATTGTAACCACTTTGACATATTTAATTTTTGCACTTGCTCTCTTTTAACATTTTTTATAATGTCAAACAAACTCGCAAAATTCGAGCGGTAACATATCATTTTACAGCATTTTTGTACTGTGCGATAATTGAAAAATGATGTATAGCCATGGGAATTTTCTTAAATGTTATAAAGTTCAGCCGTTGTAAATAACGGAATCTTGGCAGACATGTATATCTTAAATATTTGTGCAATTTATTAGCATAATGTCTTTGATGTTTCATGTCCAGATTCATTGTTTGCTGATAAATAGACCTTCTGAGCTGAGGGTTTAAGAAATATTTTGTTAACTTAAACTTGTCATCACTGGCCAATTCATCAGACTGGTCAAAGTTTACATTAATCATGTTAATATAAGATAAAAACATAGATCTAAGCATATTGGATAACAAAGGTAAAATTCTCCCCTATTCATGTATTGTGATTGTCTACTCCAACTGGTTATGTTATCGATACAGGAATAGCTGAGTGTAAATGCAAATATCACACTTGTTTTAATGTCGAAACAAAATCAGGTCATAAAACACGTGTCCTTTATGGAATGATTCATGGGTTCAGGCCCTTACCATGCACATCTATAAATTCCTTATTTTAGTTTCAGTTTTTTTATTTAATAATTTCGTTTTCTTTATTTAATAATTTTGTTTTCATTACTTAATAATTTCATTTGTTTTTATTTAATAATTTCGTTTTCTTTATTCAATAATTTCGTTTATTATTTTTAAATTTATTTTTGGTTTGCGCTCTTGGGCTTCCGTAAGATACTTTGTGTGTCAAAGATTTATACTAGAGATTGTTCTTTCTGACGTATCCGTATACGTATCCGTATCCGTATACGTATCGAGGTATGAGAGGCATCTCGATCCCGATGATTTAACCGTGGGTACCATTTCCATCGTTTCTTGTTTGATTTTAACCTCATTCATTGGAAAATAAGATATATAGTAATATTTCTAATAAAACGTATCAAGTTGCTGTTCACACCTATCATTTTATGGATGGATTTGAAAAAAAATAAAATTAGTAAAAAAGTATGTATATTTTTATTAAATTGTTTAAAAATTAAAAAAAAGTTAAAAAGGGACTTCCCTCTTCTCTCTCTCTCTCTCTCTCTCTCTCTCTCTCTCTCTCTCTCTCTCTCTCTCTCTCATACACACACACACACACACACACACACACACACACACACACACACAATATCAGGATATATTATTGTTTCATTCTCGAAGTAACCTTTACCAGTACAAGACATATTCCCCATAATGCATACAGTCAACGCTCGTTATCTCTTGCAACTTGATTGGACCAATTAAAACTTCGATATATCCAAGGATTTGAGTTAACAAAGTTTAACTGTACGAGGTGTCAGAGATCAAACATTCTAGATGAGTATAAGTTTGTATACATCAAGCAGACACTTAAAATTGATTAACAAAGTGGAGAAGGGGGAAGCTGGGCCGAGGCAGGGAGAAACCAAAAAGAAACCAAAAAATGACAAGTCACCTTAGCAAAACTTTGACAATAAAAATGTGTAGAAATTAATCAAACTCTTAAAAAACCTATTACTGGGTATGTATGTTTGTGGGGGTGGGGGGGGGGGAGAGGGGGGTATGGATATTAAGTTTTGAGTTCCTCTTTTCCACAAAAATAATTACGGATACATTAACTGTGAAAGATTAATTTGACCATACTGCATACTCTGTGTGAATGTTTGTGTGTGTGGGGGGGGGGGGGGGGGGCACTGAAAATTTCCATCCTCATTTTCTTTTTTATCATTATTAACATTCTGTATATCATTTGATTATATATGATGGACATAGTTCTCTAGAAAGGCTTTGGAAAGCTGGCAATTGGGATGGTTTGAAGACTCTAAATTCCCTAAATTGTTATGTGATAGCCGTATCCGAAATTCCAGAGAGCTTGAGAAAGGACTACCAATTCCAAAAGTAATGCAATTACACGCATTTTTATCGCGGATGAATTAACAATTGTCGATAAAAGGAGAGATAAACGGAGAAAATTTTTTTATTTATGTCTTATACATTACTTTATATACATGTTGTCTAAAGTTTACTTAATGATTTATTTATTGAAATTTAGACTACTGTAATTCTTTGTGTACAAGCGGGATCAAAACTCTTTAAAAAAAATGCTGATAATTTATCAATTAAATGTTTTGTATAAATTTTATCCTTTATTCTGTGTTTTTTTTTTTTATTTCTCTGCTACGTTGAAGCAGCCTCTTCTCTTCAATTCTATAAACTGCTTGTTGAATTTACTCACACTTGTCCCGATCTTGGTCAAAATGCATAAATAAATAAATAAAATTAAAAATATGAATAAATAAATAAAAACCAGCTAGATGGACAAGGTAGCATAGAATAAATAGATAAACCTATTGTTTTGGAATTTTTTAGCCTAATGTTCTTTTCTTTCTTACAAAAAGAGAGTTAAGATAATGAATACCATATTATGAAACAGTTTCTTTATCAAACCATGGATTATATATAATACGCATGTACGACAACAAGAGAACTAAAAGGAAAATCAAATTTAACTATTGCATTTTCATTTCATTACCTATTTTTTGTCGCCATGAAGTCTTTTCAAGTTAATACTGCTGAAAGGACAAAATATAAAGCAAAATCAAGCCGTATGAGAATAGGCACGAAAGTAGCAATTTCAACTGGGGAGGGGAAGGGAAGACATACAGGTATTTGTCAAATAGTTCATTGAAAAAAGAATGAAGAAAGTCAACAGACGCTATGAAAATTTGTGTGTGTTCCCGGGGGGGGGGGGTGAACTGGCATTTTTAAGCATATACTGGTAAGGGTCTGGAAGCAATTTCTCTTTAGAAAACGGCTACAAGGTTTTGTTGATTGTGTGGATATCAACGTCTTTTGCATTTTAGTGTGAGTGGGGGGTGGGGGTGGGGGGTTAACTTTTATGTCATCTAATGTTAATTACAGATTCAATCAATAAAATGTCCTGATGTTAAGAGGGAGAGAGGGGGATCCCGATAAATGTTTTTAAACAAAATTGCAATCAAAGTTTTAAACAATATAATGAGAACAAATACAAATTTATTTAATTTCATTATCTATTTTTTAAAATGAAAGACGTTTAAAGCAGGTTAATACATTTTTTATAAGAAAAAATACCATATGCTATTATTATATGAATGGGGTTTCTTTAAAACCAAACAAATAACGATGGAAATTATAGTAAATAGTTTAGACATCGGGATCGAGATGCCTCTCTCACCTTGATACGTATGCGGATACAGATACTTGTACGGATACGTCAGAAAGAACAATCTCTATTACCAATTGCGGTCCTTTATTGGCAGATTATTTTTATATTCATATGAAGCAGAATTTATTCAGAAACTTAAACATGAGGG